AACCCCGGTGAAGACTGCTGGAGGAGTCCCCATCCTATTTCCATAGGAGACGATGGTGTGGGCCTCATGGTGACACACCAGGGGGCCTCTGGTGTCCCCCTGTGGGTGATGGGAGGAAGGGACATGAAGTCAGGCCTCCCCACTCCTGCTGCACTAAGGCACAGCCCTCAGAGATGATATGAACAGCTGGGCTCCTTCAATGTGGGCTGTGTGAGATAGGAGGGTGGTGGGGTACAGAAGTCAAGCTTCTGGATCTTTCCATCTCTGGTCTTCAGTTCTGACATTGGTTACTGACTGTAGCTCAACCAAGTCACCTTACGTTTCCCTTCCCCAGGACAAGGCGGCACAAATGTACCTTTGTATCTGGTGCTCCTCCAATCCCCTAGAGATCAGACTCCTCAGAAAAAGCCTGATGTCCCTCAGGTCTGGGACCTCGATTGAGGCTGTGGGGATGTAGTCTCTTCAGACTGGTCAGTACCACCCAGGCCCATATGCTTTGGGCCATGTTGGCAGATGCCCGGGGCCTTACCAGAAGGTGGACTTCCTCTTCCTCGGGTTCCCCACACAAATCTGTATTTGGTGGGTGTAGAAATTGAAGTGATTGCTGCACTTCAGATCCCTCTGCCCTCTCAGCCATGCATCGTGGAACATGTCTGTTCTACAATACAGACCAACCAGGCCCCAGCCCACCATCGTGCCCTTGGCCCCCAGGACTTTGCCTGGCCTGCGTCAGAGGCAGAGCGCTGGCCTCAGACTCTGTTCAGTCTGGTTCTATTCTCCAGCTGGTAGGAAGAGTGGAGGCCCTCAGGGACTCCTGGGGAGAGCTCACCTCTTGCCCCCACCATCATCTATAATCTGTGCCTGCTTCACCCTCCTTGGCCCCAAGACAGGATGGAGCTTCCATGCTGGGAGAAAGCCAGCTGGGCTGGGGAACCAGAACATCAGGTAGATGGTGCCTACAGTAAGACGATGTCATTCAGGTTGTTCTGCTGATCATATTCAGGGTGGCAGATGCTCTGAGCACACATATGTCCTTCTGGGTGCTTTCCAGTCTCCTGATGTTCTGGGCCCCAGGATGACATTTACAGGGCTGTGAAGAAAAGGTGGCCTAGAGGTAGGGTTGAGCTGCAGCAGCTTGGTCCACCAGCACTGTAGGGGAGGAGGATGGTGGGACTGTAGCTGAGGGAATTTACGGGATGGGATGGCTCTGGGGCTGAGCTGTCTGTGCCCTCCGCTCCTCAAAGCCCTGAGCTGGGGAGGGTGGGGCACACAGGGTCCTTGAGTTTTACTTCCCCCAGAATATATTGAGAGAGAGCTTGAATTCATATTTTGGGCCCCAGTGGAGCCTTCATTTTCCCCCCTCACTCTTCTTGATCGCGTCCTTCTTTTCTCCTCATTAACACTGGCCTGTTCCTTCCCCCAGACCTACTTGGTCTCTTTGTCACCCCTTCATTGCCACCACCCTGGTTTTCATGGCCCCCTTATGAACTCTTCATGGACCATGTGACTGGTCACCCAGGAAGCTCCTTGGTTCCTCCTGTTCCCCAGCAGAGAGCTGCCATCAGCATAGTCTTCTCACACCGGGAACACCCTGCAGGTTATCTAAATAATACAGAAAAATTATGAAAATGAATATGTGGGAGGAATAAAAGCCAAAAGGAAAATATACTTATAAGCAAAGATATGATTATAGTCTATACTGACCTTTAACTAATTTTGACTTAAACAGACCAGATGAACATCCTTACGTGTGACTAAATGTAATTCTATCTCAAAACATTGAAGTTTCTGTAGTGTTCAATGGTATGAAACTTTTCAAATCTAATCAGCAGATTGGTGCTGAACATTGGCACTATTTCGAAGATTTGACTTTTGTAACAAATCTATAAGGAATAACTGTGTCCACTTTTCTCAGCGTGGTTGATCACTAGGTGGAAGACACCTTTTGTCCTTTTTTTAAGGACCTTTGTGTACATGGTATGAAAATGTCATTTTCTCAATGTCCATACTGAAGGTAAGCATCGTTGGTTTTGTAAATCCTTCCCAATCAGATAAACAAAAATTATTAATATTTCAATTTGCATTGATGTTTTAGTGAGCTTTTACTTTTTTCATATGTCTATTAGGTTTTTTTTTTAATAACTGACCTATTAATGTTCTTAGCCAAGTTTCCTAGAGCCATGGATAATGTAGAATGTTAAGAGCCTCAGAATTTATAAGCAGCACATAGCATATTTTACCATTTTCCTACTTTGAAAATTAATTCCGATTCCAGTTGGGGTCTATTATTAAATTATGGTGTGATGGTCCTCTTTCTGAATAACACACAGATAGACAGGTGCACACACACACACGCTTTCAGAGCTCTAGTAGGATTAAGTCCTAGAAGACAAATCGCTGGATCAAGAGAGAGAAATAGATATGAAATAATGTGGAAGCCGTTTTAAGGAAACAGGTGCCATTGGGAGCAGCCCAGGCTTCCTGATGCTACGGGCATTAGAAGGTCATAGTTTTGAATCTTCATGTCTGTCATTCAATATCAAGTGTTCCTGTCAGGTGTGAGGGCAAACTGACTCACCAGGCACTGTCCTCTGAGGCCACACATGCGCATCCCGGGTGGCATATTTCCCTGGCTGCTCTCTGGCTGGCACTGGCTTACACCCTGGGACGCTGTAGAGCTCATCATGGCCGACTTTCTGAGGTTTCTAATTCTGTAGTGTGATGGCTTCTCCTAAGAGTGCCCATTTATACTGCTGTGACCCAAATTTGTCCCCTGGCTTGTGCACCTTCTACTATTCACTTGCTCATCTCCACACGTTCATTCAGCTCTTCCCTCCCCTGTGCTTCTGCTGGTGCTGTGAGCCCCAGGGGAGGCTTGGCAGATGGACATGGGGACAGTCATGAGTGAAAAATAAGCATTCTTTTGATTTTCATCTTAGTTTCCAATGTGCTAGACTTTGCTTTTCATATCTGTGTGATTTATTTGTTATTCTTCTTAATGGTGGTGCTTCTCTTTTTGATGTTGGTCCCAGTTGATTCAGTGTTCGTCCAGCTATCATGAATTTGTGGTGTTCTGTCACATCCACTTTACTGGTGGTGCTGTTTGAAGGATACAGGATCCTAAAATAAGGTTGTCTGGGTCATAATTGGTGATGAAAATAATGAATGACCAATCTTTAGATAAGAAAGATGGAGTGATATTTATTGAGCCAATTTGCTGTAGACTAGCCTGGAAGTGCTGTCTCCCCCAAGGAAGAAAGCTCTCCTGAGAAGCATGGTCACCTCATGGCTGTAGACCATTTCACAACAAAGAAAACACAGGAAGCCTGACAGGAATATAATTTTCTTCCAAGTCACAAGGATCTGTTGTGCTGTAGTTTAGCACATATGTAGCAGTTCAGCTTGACTTCAGTCCTCTGGGAAAAAGAGCTTACCTTGAAAGAAGTGATGGTATTGGCGTCAGAGAAAGGGAGACATTCATCCCTGTCTTTAAAGAGTGCATTGTTTGCTTTGGGAAAATGTTTGAGCAGATGTACAGTGTGTTTTTGGTGGGTCATAAGTCAGGCTGCTCTGGGAAAAACAAGTTTTAGGTTGAGTCACGGTTGAACCAGATTGGCTTCCCCATACACTTCAAGATGTGAAAGCTTCTTGTTATTGTTATTGTTTTCATCACAATGAAAGGGCTTGCACTTGAAGTGTGGCATTTTGTGGGGTTTTGGACTGAGGCTCATGCCTTCCACATGTAAATCAGCAAAAAATATGGCTGCGTCAGGTTCCTCCTCCCTCCCTCCCCTCCAGACGTGGACTCCACTGAGCCCAGACGGAGAACTTCAGGACCTGAGGGTCTCGAAGTCTCTTCATTTTCACACTGCCCTTCTGGAATCAAACAAGACCACCCATGGGAAACTCTAATGTGCAATCGAGATACAGTACAGAGAATTTAATTATTTTTAAGGCAAGCTGTCTTGAGGATTCCAAAAAACTGATCTATTGGCCAAACTGGCGGGCCTGGGAAAAGGGGAGGCACCAGGGGAGTTTAGAGGAAATTTTCCCTCACTGTAAGTTTCGCAGTATCAGAGACAGAGCCTGTTATGGGCCTGGCACAAAGACTCAGGTTGCCAGCAGGGGGAGTCAGGACAGTCTGCCAGGGCCTGAGGCTCTGGAGTGACTCCACAGGCCATGATGGCAGAAGGCCCGGGGATGCTGGGCTGCATGGAGGACCTGAACTGTCTCTGCTCAGATGGGAAGTGGGTCCTGCATCCTCTGATAGGCATCAGGAGGGCTGGTGGTTGTGGTACAACAAGGACAAGCTATAGAGGAGAATTCACACGGGGCTTTAGGAACTCTGTCAGGGAGATGAGAGAGAGGTTGGCGCAAAACAGGGTGGGCTAGAGGGAAAGGGACTGGTGGCCAGGCTGCTCAGATGGAAAACAGGGGCTGATGTTGGATGGTCAGCCAGGAGGAAGGTTGACTGAGCTCAGTGCTGGGCATGTTGTAGGGCAGGAAATGGGATGAGAGTGAGGCTAGAGGCCAACTAGGGAGCATCTGAGCATCGAAAGCTACAGCTAGTCCGGGCTGTGGGAGAAGCTGCCCCCACAGCAGAGAGAGGCCCTGGAAATAGGAAGCTCAGTGTCCAGGCCCTGGCCCCTGGCCTCCCGGGTCCTTGGAGTTATTCCCCTTCCACTGCCCTGCTCCTCTCTCTGCTGACTTGGGGCATTGGCGATGGTGGTTGGCTTAGAGAATTTTCTATGTCCCAAGGAGGAACATATTTTGGGGAAGAAGTTTGTCCTTTTATAATGGGCAGAATTCAGACTCAGCCCTTGCACAGGGCTCAGCACCACAGAGTTTTGACTGACAAACTATTCAGCATGAGGTTTAGGGGGAAGCAGGGCTGGAAGAGAAGGAGGAATGGACAGCCCACAACTGACAGCAGAGGGCTGCCTGGAGTATGCTGTTGCGTGTTGAAAGTGGTTCAGTGAGTCAGTGAGACTTCAGTCATGCTCGCTAGAGATCCATTTATTACGGCCCCTCAGTCCCACTGCCCGCCCCATGGGAGTCCTGTCTCTGCCCCAGGAAAGATGGTCAGGCACAGAGGAAGGTCAGCCTCACACCTGCTATGAGCAGCGCTTCATTATTCTCTTTATCCAGGGAAGGTAGGGTGACACCTTCATGAAGACTCCTGGAGGGGTCTCACTCTCTTGTCCATAGGAGGAAATGCCCTGGAGCACATTTTCACAGACAAGGGGGCCCCCAGAGTCCCCCTGGAAGCAGAGAGGAAAGAATGAGCTTGAATCCTCGTGGTCCTGCCCTTCTAATCACCCCTAGGGTCAGTGATGTCTCAGGGGGCCACATGTGAGATCAGCCTTGTCACCTCCCTCATCCCAGGGCTCCAGCCTGGCTCTGACTGTTATAAGGAGCTCCACCCAGGCCAAGGCTTTCTCTCCAATCCTCAGGGAAATTTTGGTGAAAACTCTGCTGTGGGATGACTGATCCTTCCTCAGCTTTCACCCCTGATCTACTCCAGGGAAAAAACTAAAGACGGGATTAATGGACCCAGGCAGCCCACCTGTCCAGCTGAGGCATGAAGATATGGCCACTCCCATCCCCTAGAGCTCCCCATTTATTCTCTCCCCGGGTCTGTCTAGGTAGATCCTGGAAACATTACCTCAGAGCCAGTCTTAATCTTCTTTGCTTCCCCTACACAAATCTGCGTGGCCCCGTTGTAATAGCCAAGGAGGCAGGAATCACACATCTCATCCTTCTGCACGGTCAGCTTCACTTCCTGCAGAGTGGTTGCTAAAATGCCCATTGAGACTTTCCCCAAGCCGGCCACGCTACACACCTGTCCAGGCCTCACCTGGGTCTTGCCCCTGGGCGGGCTGAAGGGCCCCACAGCTGTAGTCAGCTTAGCCTCTCTCTCTCCAGCTGATGGGAAGAGGCAAGAAAGTCCAGCTCAGCCACTGCCCTGCGGCCTGGACAGCGCAATGGGGCTGCACTGAGTTCTCTCTCCCCCGAGCCACTGGGACTAGTCAGGTGGCCGTGATGGGAAGGAAGGAAGGGACAGGTTCCAGTGGGAGGGGAAGAAATCAGGACCCAGGACAGCATGAGCAGTAGGGAGATTCCCTTACCTTTAATAACATGATGTCATTGAAGAGGTTGTTAGGATTATGGTGTGGGTGGTGGACGGCTTCTCTCACAGGGATGGCCTGTTGGGTCCTCTCCTGCTCCTGAATGTTGTGGGCCCCCAGGGTCACGTTGATTGAGCTGCACAGAAAGTAGAGTGGGGACAGGAGGGGCATGGAGTCACAGGAGATCCAGCCCTGGAGCCATGAAGGGCGGGTGACAACCAGGGCAGGGCAGGACTGCAGCAAGGGACAATCGAGACAACAGGAGCTCTGGGTGCTGAGTGACTGTCCCCTGTGCTTCTGAAAAACAATGAGGGAAGGACACTTGGAAGCTTGTCTTGCCCTCGGGCAATATTGTGAAAATACTCTGAGTTTGCCTTTTGATCTAAGGCATGCTTTCATCCTCCACAGCTGCTTTAGTGGACCAGTGTGGTCTCTCTTCTCAACTGAGCCACTTGCTCTCACCTCTGACCCTCTGACTCCAAAGCTTATCTGTCCTGTTTCTCAATTTCCATGGACCAGTCCTGGTCTCAGATGGCTCCTCTCATGAGCTCTCATGGCCTTGAGTTACCAGGAGCCGTGGGAGCTCCCTAGGCTTCAGCCCCTGGGCAGAGGACAGCGGTCCCTGTAGGGGTCTCAGGAGTGTCAATTGTCTGCGGCCCCCCACCTTCCCCAGGAGTGAGCAGCCATCAAAACAAAGTCCTTTCTCACGAGGACACTGCCACACCTGCCTTCATTCTCCTCCTCCACAAAGTGAGCCAAAGCCATATAGTGGTAGGAATGGGGCCTGGCCTCATGTCCTCTGATGATGTCCTCTGAAAGAAAAGACTGGAAGATGTGCTTTCTGGGAGTGGCTGTGGTCAGGAGGGAAGGCTCTGGAAGGTGGTGATTGATGGTGGGGTCTATAGTGCCCTGCAGACACTGGGGCAGAGTCCTCCCAGGTTCCCCTTGCAGCAGAATAACCTTTTCTGAATGCCAAGCCTCAGAACGCCCTGTGAGAAAAGGGAGGACAGTGCTTGTTGTCCCCGTCCTACTTCTGCCCTTGCATGGAGGAGATAAGAGCTGTCTTCACGATGGTGGAGCCCAGGGGATTGTGGACAGGGCTCCCCTGATGCCTTCTGTCTCAGTGAGTCTCCCAACCCCTCTGAGCCTCTGCTAATGTCCCACCTGGTGCCCATATCTCATAATCTGTCTGTGAGCTTATGGAGTTTGAATTTATAAAATGCTCGTGTCTTAGGGCGTAACCCATCCTAGGATCTCAGTGAACCTTTTTTGCCTGCGTGAATGAATGGCCTTCTCTTAGTTTTAAACTGAGGTTTGGTGGGCTTTGTGCTGGTAGGATTGAAGGCCAATGGCATGCAGGAAGAACTTTGTGTAACAGCCAAGGGCTTGGGAAGGCAGTGAAAAGTGTGGCTGTAAATGGCTGCCCAGGGCTGTGACAGAAGTAAATCACCGAGCGGGTCCTGGGTGCAGTCTTCCACCCCCTTCTGAGATCTACTGCAGCCTGGACTCCCGTCCTGGGCAGGGATGAGGGGGTGACAGCACTGAGAAATGAAACTGGTTCTTGAGGTGGGCCCAGGGACAGGTCCCACCACTGCAGTCGGTTTGTCTGAGCTGCCCTTTCCTGAGTTGAAGGGAGGGATTTTAATTACTTGTCTTTTGTAGCATCACACCCTCTGCTGAATGCCTTGCTATGAAGAACCCGCTTTCCAGGTGATAAGAGAGAGGCTCACGCATGAACTATTTCAGTGAACATCCTCCCTTCTGGCCATCCTTGTTAAGTGTCTATGTAGCATTGGGCTTGTTAGTCTTGGCCTGGGATGGGAGCTGGGGTCTAGAAAGTTCTCGGGCTGAAATTGAGGAAAATCCCTGAATGTGCTGGGCAGAAGGGTCAGGTGTACAAAGGGTTGTGTGAGATGAGCTGGAGCCTCTGGAATGTGGATGGTCACTCACCTGTCCCAGCCTTGAGGGGCAGAAGAAAGGCCAAGCCGAGCAGGAGTCGCTGCATCTTTCCTGAAGTTCTGCTCAGGTCAGAGCTGCTGGTGTTTCTTCCTTCCAGACACACGGTCCCCGAGTGGAAGGCAGGGGTGTGGCTCAGGGCCTCACAGGACTCCTAGGGCTGTGCCCCTGGTTTTTCTGTATTATTGGGGAAAGTGGTTTGTCAAAGTTCTTAGGCTTGGGTTAGGTGACAGTAGCACTGTCACCACACTTGCACTCTGGGTACTGAATCACAAGGTGAAAGCAAGAAGAACAAACAAGAAAGCAAAGCCTGTGATAAAGCCAGCAGGGGAGCTGGACCCCAGAAGCCCCTCAGTGACTAAATCTAGAATGTCTCCATTTGCCAGCCGTTGGCTCTTTTTCCATCCTGATAAACTCATGAATAATTATTTAGCAAGCTAGCTCCAGGGAGACGGGCAAGATGGCTCCTGCCATTGAGAAGACATCAGTCAGCTGGAGTAGACTGAGAATCTGTGGTTAACGTGCAGGCTGGTAAGGTCTGTGGTGGGGCCTCCACTTGGTGGCAGGAGATAGAGACTGGACTTGCCTTAGGGGTATGTAGAGCTGGACACACTCAAACACCCCAAATGGTAACCCCACTTCTTCTCTGACCACCATTCCAGCCTCATATTTTGGAATACTCAGAATTCACTCTTTAAATCTAAATATTCTGTGATCAAGAGAGTTTCTCTCATCTCAAAATTTTGAACAAAAGTCCTGGACCTGATATTCATTGGACCAAAGCAAACCATCAGCAGGTCCATTGGAGTTGAGTGGCCTGATAGGTTCATTCTTGGGTCGTATAGCACCCCTGGGCCTGAGGTGGGGACGGCTCCACACAAATTCTAGTGCCTGTTTTGTGGGGAGAGGGTTCTCCTAAAGGAAGGCTGGTTACTGTTGCCAAGTGATGGGGACTTGGATACTGGTCATCCTAATAATTACTATCCACTATGTGTTCTCTGCCCAGGGTCCAGTGAAACATGGCTATCACGTCCATGGGCCCAACAGTCATAAACATTTGCAAACAGATTATCCCAACGCTCTCACCAGTGTGATGACTGATGACAGAGTAGTGGAAAGGAAGGCATTAGGAGTTCTAAACAGCCCCATCGCAGTTGTGTTAAAGCAACAGCTTCTTATGAAGACATAAAAAAAGAGGGAAAGGCAACCTGCTTAAGCATTAATGATGATGACCTCTAGGTGGTGGCATTCTCGGGATTTTAATGTTCTTATTGCTATGTCTGCCTTTCCCTGTCTTTCTGTGATGAACATGTATTGCTTTTCTACCCAGTAAACATTTTCCTGTAGTCAAAGCACGTGCATCAGTGGCAACCATTCAGCAGACCAATTCTTTCCAGTCTAGCCTTCTTTAAGCTGGATATTTTAAAAATGAGTTTACTTTTCTAAATCCATTCTTATAGAGAAGATTTAGACATTGCTGAAAAATATAAGAAAAATTTACCCAGTAGGCTATAGGCTATAGGCTATTTTGGTGAATAAAGGAGGAATCAACGATTTCCATTCTAGACATGGAAGTTTATGAAGTCCCTAGCAGCCTCCCCTGCAGCCCACACTGCCCAGGGCAATTCTGGCCTTGACCCCAGAGAAGATCAATCCTGTTCTGTCCAATCCTGTCCAGATCAATCCTGGGGGCACCTGAGTCTGGGCCCTGCAACCTGAAGTATTGTTCTTTTTATCGAGGGCAGATAGCTTGAGATGCCGATGAAGACAAACGGAGATTTCCCCTTGTTTTTTCAAAAGGAGATTACACCGTGGGCCATGTTGTTACACATGAGGGGCCCCTGGAGTCCCCTGTGCACAGAGAAGGGAGAAGTCTCAGTCAGAGCCCTCTGGCTCCCCCTTCGCAGCATAGTTTTCTCCCTGTTGCTCTCCTGCCCCTCTCTCAGGGCCCAGCTATTCAGATGTCTAGTAGCTGATTGATTACCATTCACCTCGATTCTGTGTGTCAGCCGGGTAGGTGGATCCTCTGTGACCTACTCACCCCATGAGCCTGTGTCCTGGCTGTGTCCTCTCTCATGCTCAACCCGGTCCCAGGCCCTGCTCTTGTTGTGCCATGGACAAAGGTGAAGACATTGGCTGGAGGGAGATGCCTGGGCTCCACATGCTGGGAACAGCAAGCCTCCACCCAAGACTGGACTCAGGTCAACCACTGCTTGTTAGGTGGGAGAAGGCCTGGCCATGTCACCCCAGCATCACTGTGTCCCTGGGGCAAGGGTTGGAAGATCCTTGTCTCCTTACACTTGCCCCGGCCTTCTTGTCCTTAGGGTTCCGCATGCACAGCTGTATGGACTAGTTGTAGTTTTTGAAGCGGTCATTGCACTTCTGCTCATTCTGCACTTCTGCTCATTCTGCACTTCTACATCCACCTCCCAGAGTGTGTTTGCCTTTCTGCCACTTGCAAATTTTCCCTAGCCTGCCGCACTGAACACCTGCCGTGGCCTCAGCCAGTCCTGGCTCTGTGGCAGGGCGATGGTCTTCACAGCTGGGTTGAGTTGAGCCTTTTTTTGCAGCTGGTCAGAAATGTGAGAGACGGCAAGTCAGGTCCCGCCCCCTGCTGGACTCAGAACCAGGGGTGAGATTGCTTCTACCCCCTGCCTGGAGTCTCCCAAGCTCCCTTCTATTACATTGACCCAATAGAACAGTCATGTTGGAAGAACGGAGGGGACTGAGACCCTGAATGAGCTGCCTGCTCTTTTGTGACCTGTGCAGTTTCACCTGAAAGTCAGCAAGAAGGTACCTTCAGTAGCATGATATTGTTGACCTTTTGATTATCGTTATA